TGCTACTGAATGGGAGGTGAGATGGTGCTACTGAATGGGAGGTGAGATGGTGCTACTGAATGGGAGGTGAGATGATGCTACTAAATCAGAAGTGTTGCCATTTAAGAAAACAAAACAACTGGAAGAAGTAGGATGCCTTAGACCTTTGGGTAGGAGTTCAAAGTGGCTAATGATTTTAATTAACATTCCTAATTTTGAGAATATGTAGTAAAAACCTTCATTACTTTTAACAAATTTAATAGGCTTGGGTTACTATTACCAGACTTTCATTTTTCTGATCTATTAATACATTGCTGTATGACACTGATGTAAGAAGATGTCTTATGGCTCTCAGCTAACTCCTGATCAATAAATTGTCAAATTATATGTATTAAAAATATAGTAAGAAAATGAGACTTGTCTAGCTGTAAGATAGACCAATCAACACAATGGTTAGTGGGTTTTTTTTCAAAGATAGATTCATGTTTAAAAGATGCATTCCCAGTGACTTATAGGCTGCACATCCAGATACTGTATTCAGCTATGAATTCATGAATGCTTTAATCTTTTGTTGAATATAGCACCTCTATGATCCAATCATTAGCTGGACACAAGCCTTCAACATACAAGGCTTGAGGTTGGAGGGATACCATCTATCCAAATCATAATATTCTCCCTTTCTTCCTCTGGCCATTAGGGGCTCATGTCCTTGTCATAATGCAAATACATGTTGTGTGCCCTCAAGAGTTCCAACGGCCTTTGTTGAATAGTTTGATTCTGAGATGCAAGCAAACTCTTAGCTATGAACTGAGCACTGTACAAGGAATGCTGGGAGCAACCTCTTAGGCAGTCTTGTGTCACAAGTGTGTCCAGTTGCTCTCACTTTCTAAGTCTCTTCAAATGAATTACATTTTTATTTGAGATGGTCTCACTATGTAGCCTTGTCTCACTGTGTAGAGCAGGATAGCCTTGAACTCACAGAGCTCTGCCTGCCTCTGCCACCTTCGTGCTGGAATTAAAAGTGTGAGCCACTGTGCCCTGCTCCTTGGCTCCTTTTTAAATGGTACTTATCTCTGCAGAAACAGTGCCTTCCTCAACCCCAGCTTTTATACAGGGATGACTGACCAAACTATAAGTTTTTAAAAACTGTCCAGTAATCTTTGTGCTTCTAATTCTTAGTAAGCAGCTGGCCAAAAGCAAGTAGCAAAAGTAATACAGCAGCCTGGATATCAGGCTTCCTAGGAATTCCTTCTTCCACCAGTTAAATGGCTTTACCACTTTAAACTTGGCTTCATGTAGTCTTATAGCATAAGACAAAATGAGAACACGTTCTTTGCAAAAATACAACATGAATGTCCTCTAGTCTAACCCACAATGGAATCCTTGTTCCTATTTGAAACCCCATGAACTCCACATTCTGGTCTTCTCAGCTCCCACACAAGAGTTCTCTTAAAGCATTCTATATGATGATTTTAAAACTCATTTCCAAATTCTTCACAAGGGCCTAAGAACCACATGGTTTGATTTTTGACAGAGTGATTGCTCTATTTCTTGGTGCTGATACTCTATTGGTCAGGATTCCCTGCCTTTACTTAATTAGTTGGGGGGAGGAGGGAGAACATAGGTTTATTTTGGATCATGATTTCAAAGATGTCAGTCCTTAATCATTTGACCCTGTCATTTGACATGCTTAAATCGTCATGAGCTATGCGAGAGGAACAGCACACAGACCTGTTGTTTTAGGTCTGAAGTGAGGCAGAGTACCATGGTGGCAGGAGTGTGTTACAGAGAACACACTCAGAGGAGTCGCGATTCATGGCAGCCATGGAGCAGAGAAAAAGGGATGAGGCCAGGGACAGATGTGCTTCCAGTGACCCACTTTCTTCAATTAGACTTGGCAACAAATTCCTGGATGCATTCATTACTCCTTTAATGACATTAGCAGCGCTATCATGGTCCTCTTTTCCCAGATATGTCTTCAGCATGTAAGTCCTTGTGTGCAGGGGATAGGAGTTATGAACTTACAATAGAATTGTAACAACCTAGTAACTGGCCGGGCGGTGGTGGCGCACGCCTTTAATCCCAGCACTTGGGAGGCAGAGGCAGGCGGATTTCTGAGTTCAAGAGTTTGAGGCTAGCCTGGTCTACAGAGTGAGTTCCAGGACAGCCAGGACTACACAGAGAAACCCTGTCTTGAAAAAAAAAAAAAAAACAACCTAGTAACTGTGACCAAAGAAAACACTTAGTGGGAGCAAAGACTTCATTATTCCAATTTAGTGTTCATATTGCAGACTTAAGATCTTAAGTTCTACAAGTCAAAGCATGAATAATAGAATGTTTCTCTTTAGAAAACAGAGTTTTAATATACATGATTATGTTGACATAATGAACACATCCTTTTTTTCTGAGATTGGATAGTTAAGTGTTTGCCTAATGATCACAGATGAATATAAGAAATTCTTTTCTAAAATCCAAAGATCAAACCACTGTCCCCTGGGAGAAAATGCTCATATAATGACTCTTTCCCGATGAGATATATAAGTTATAAGAAGTTCACTATCGAAATCTTGCTGAAAAAAAAAATCTTAGATAAAAATAGATATCCCAAATTCTAAATCAAATAACTACTTTATTATCACCTTAAAGGTTGTTCTAAAATCGATAGAGTCAAACACATATTTAAAATCCACAGTTTAGGCTTGGTGTGTGGCTCAGTGCTGGGATGCTTGTTTTGGATCTGTAAGGTCTCAGGTTCAATCTCTATGCCACAGAAATCATAACAGTGATAGCAATAATAGCTACTTAATAAATGTATTCCTTGTGTACATTGTACCTAAATTTCACACATTATTTAGTAGGTAAATAATCTAGTAAGTGTAGCACTATTCATAATAGTCAAACACAGAAGACACCTACATGGTTTTTGGAGGATGAGTGGCTAAAAATGTAGGTTGTACAAATTGGTATTAAACTTTTACAACATCTTTATTTAAAACTTATTACCCAGATCAGTAATTTTATGAAGTATCAAGGATTTTATACAGTAAACTTCTATAAGCAGGACTACGTGTGTTACTAATATAAGCGAATGTATTGGTATGAACAAGAATATGTTTACCTGTGCCCTTCCCCCAGCCTTGAACAGGCCTAAGAGATGAGACCTTGTTTACCACAATAGACCAAACAATAGGACTCTGGAGGTATGGCCTGGAGGCATTTCCTGCCCTTGGCGGAGGCAGTGCTTGCTTTGGCCTTGGCGCCTTTCTGGCTGCCTGTAGCCTGGTACACGAGCTGAGAATAGACTGCCTGCTGAGCTTGCTTTCAGACATCTCCAGCCTGCGATTACCTATGGATTCCTCTCACCTCCAGCAGGATGGTTTCCGCTCACCCCCAGCGCTCACCCCCAGCCGGCTGAAGCAAGAAGGAACTCTGGGGATGGGGGTGGGTTATCCCCTTTAAATTGAAAGCTGAACATTAAAGCATCGAGCCTCGATCAGAAACCTTTGTCCTGGCTTCATCTCTTCCCGCCCTCCTGTCCCTTCCCAGCCTCTCTTTCAGGTGAACCCGGTCGACTGTGGCCGATGGCCCTCAACATTTACCAATGAAAAGGTCCTACTAGCTGAAATTGTCATGAAGCATGCAAGAGGAACAGCACGAAGCTGTGGAAGTCATGGAGGACAACCCACAGGTCAGCAAGACCCTGGTGGGTGTGCCTTGGAGAGGCTGAGCCTGAGGACTACAAGTCCTGATGACCTCATACTGTTACAGACTATCTCCCTGCTTGTTGCCTGCATGGCCATCACGTCCCTCATAATCTACGAGTGGTGTGAAAACTCTAATGGGGTTCCAGCCCCTCACTGGCCAGTGTCATTGGTACTTAAAATAATAGTGATTGATCTTTACAGTACTGCTGCTGGAACAGATTAATGATTCAGCCACCATCCTTAGAGAGAATTTATAGATATAGATTGTCAGTAAAGTTAGGTTAAGATGTTTTTGTTAGTGGCTTTGCTGTGGAGAGTCTTGGAGAGTCTTGGGGGAAAGTGTGAAGTTCAGAGAGGCACATTTTTGATAGTCGAGGGAAGGGCTCACTGAGGTCAGAGGCAAGAACAATGGCAGCACAGCTATGGCTAGCTGGCGTGTCTTCTTGCTAAAGATGGACTGGTGATCAAAGGCGATGATCAATTTATGGTATTCATTTTTTACCTTGGCTTCCTGATATTATTTAATGAAAAAAATTTTTGAAAAAAAAAATATATATATCAGGGAGATGTGGGGTCAGCGACTAATGTAAAGCAGGCACATGCTCACACACACACGTGGTGGATAAAATAAGGCATCTCCCTGTTGGACCACTGAACTCTCTGTTGGAGCTGGCCTCCAGCGTGCAACATTCCTGATATTAGAGAAGTAAAACTTTCATTTAGTTATTACAAGAAATAAGAGAATAACTTACCAAAAATTCACTAAGTAGCTTTTTCTTTAACTGTTCAATTTTCTCTGCTTGCTTTCTTGCTGTCACTTTTAACTTGTGGTTTTCAAGTCCAAGTCTGTAATGTACATTTTAAAATAGTTACTCTCACATGCCAATTTAAAAACAACACATAATTTGTCAACACAGATCTTAAATAATAATTATTTCAATTCTTAAAAAAATAAAAAGTAAAATAATGAATGTATCATTTTCCAGCTTTGCTTTATGAATAATAAACCAAACTTATAAGATTTGCAAAACATTATTATACTACTAAACTGTGCCCCAAGCCTAAATTGTATATTTCAAGTAAATTAAGAATAAGTCTCATAAATTGTCATGACTGGTATAATTCTCATACCACACTATTTATTTGCTTTGTAAATACTCAAGTCATTTTTTCATGCAGCCTTGTACTTTTGAATGCAGTCATGCATCTTCGTAGCGCATTGGGCGGGCTGTATGTGTTGGTCCAGTGCTTCTTGTAACTAAAACGAAGGAAAAAATCCTTTACTAACAATCTGGTATAAATGTACCCATTCTGGGTTTTGTACTAAAATATCAGTGGATGCAGTAACCCTTCACTGAAGACTATGTATAGATACTTTTTGTTGTTCTTACTGTAAAATTAGCTAAATTATAGATACAAAAGCATTCCTCACAACAAAACACAGAGCTCTTATAATTCACAAAGCCTAAAAAACACCAATAGTCCTTTTAAAAGTTTGTTGTTTTGAGATAGGGTTTTTCTGTGTAGCCCTGGCCGTCCTGGAACTCTCTCTGTAATATGCTTTCACTAGGACTGAACAAAAAGTATTGTTTTAAATTAATATATTATTGTACTAGTTACTTTCTGTGTCACTGTAAGAGACTATTCTTCAGGAACAATGAGGGGCTCACAGTTTGAGGAATACATTCCATCATGGTGTGTAAGGCACTTGATGCTGGGTGTGGCTGTGGGGGAGGGGACTAAGGAAGCTGGCTCACATCCTGGCAGACCATGTAGCTGAGGAACATGCTAACACTTCATCTTTCCATACTGAGACTTGGGCTAGATCTTGTGCAGGCCTTGAGTTTGTAGTCACCGCCTCTGTGAGTTCATGTTTGCAGTGACCCTGTCGTGTCTGGGAAATACTGCTTTGCTCTGGGTGCCAATTATCTTGGCTCTTACAATCTTTGTCCCTTTTCTGCAATGAGTTCTGAATCTTTAGAGAGGGAGTGTGAAATAAATGTCCCATTTAGAGCTGAGCACATGACAATCCCTTACAGGCTGCATATTGACTGATTGTACATCTCTGTATTATTGCCATCTTTGACTGCAAGAAGAAACTCCACTTACAACAGTCTAAGGGTTCTTTAAGCCCGAGCTATAAAATCTCCCATAGTCTTCAAGCAAACTAGCTCCAAAGGCCCATGAACCACATGACTGGGTTTCTTACAGCAATAACCCCACATTTTGGTACCAATTTTCAGTTAGTTTCTTTCCTCTTTGCTGTGATATAAAACCTGCCAAGATCTAAAACTCGGGAGAAGAGAAATGTTTTTTTTTTTTCAGTTTTGTGGTGGGGAAGGCATAGCAGTTGGGGTTCAATATATGGTAGCAAGAACCTGCCGCACAGTTTGCTGTGTATCTATAAATCAGGAAGCAGAGTCATGTAATGAATCCAGGCTAGCCCATGTGCCTCAAGACCTCCCTCCCAGAACCTGCTTCCTTCATCCAAGCCTTGCTTCTTCAAGGTTCCACTGCTCATCACAACACATTCAAGCCATAATAGCACTAAAAACAACAAAAATTGATACAATGGAGGGAAACAAGACATCCCTCATGGTGAAAATTCAAATTGTTGCATTCCACAGGTTACCTCCAGTGTGATCTGAAATGTTCACGCACATGTACATGACAGCTGTTGTTCCAATGACGGTCGTCATTAGCAGTCTAAATGCTGAGTCAGAAGCCCAGACTCAACAGTTACTGGCTATGTGGTCCCAAATAAGTTATCCTTGCTATGTCTACTTCCTCTCTGTAAACTGGAGTCAACGATACTATGCTCTGTTGGGTTATTGGTGAGGTTAAATTATAGTGCATACATAAAGAACTTAATAGGTTCATGCCACCATTAGCATTATTACTATGCTTTATGTTTTATTCAAACTTGATCTAGGTAAGTGGCATGCCAGTGGAAGAAATAACCTCTGTGAAGTGGACTGAGCCATTCTTTCCTTCTGAGAGTGCAACAAATGGTGAGCTTCACGCTCACCATTAATTTCTTAATACCCCATGAAACCATAATATTACTAACCAATGGTACTTTTGTCTGCTTATCATTATGTACAACTCGTTTGTTCTCAGGACTCCTCGGTGGTCAGTAGGTGATGTAGCGTAAAGCAAATGTTTCCTCTTGGATTAAGTAGTGTGCAAGGGGCATGGTCATCATAGGTGGGCGAGAGCCAATGGGCTGAAAATGCTGGACTTTAATGTGAAGTCAAGACTATTCCTGAATCAGCTCACTCCCAGTCAGTGCTGACGCTGGGATGCTTCCGCGTGTACACTGATGGATGCTGGAGATGATGTGGAGTGACAGCACATGAGAGATGCTGTCTCCAGAGCACTTGAGTTGGTAAATTACTCCACATCTATAAATCCCAGCTCCAACTGCAGAATGAAGAATGACCGCAAGTCTCATTCTTTACGCATAGTGAGAAAAATGCAACACAATTCTTCACTGTGATGTGAATGCTGTTAATTTTATATTTTATTTCTTAACAGATTTAGAATGAGAGTCTTACTATGTCAATGTCTTAAGTAAATTATTGCTATGGTATGAAAATGTCATTTTATTCTTTTTCTTTTCTTTTATTTCTTAGCGTATTTTTATTGTGTGTAGTGGTGAATTTCAAACATACATTTTCATCTCTACATATCATGTGCTTTGACCATATTTCACCCCAGCCAATACTGACCTCTTCTGTCTTTTTCTTTATCCTTTAGGCTAGGCCAACCCCTTCATTTTCCCAAATGGTCTTCTTGTCTCTCTCACAGACAGCACATTCACCACATTCACACACACACACACACACACACACACACACACACACACACACACACACATTCTTTATGGAACAATAAACTTCCGCTGTGTATATACATACCATTTTTTCTTTATGATGGACATATAAATTGAGTCCTTAAATTGATTGTTTGTAAACAATGCCACAATAAATACGGTTGTGAAAGCCTCTGTGTAGTATACTGACTTGGATTTGAAGAGTTAATGCTATCCTAAAAACTGTCAAGCACATGTATTTACAATTTATTTAACAACATGAAACATGCAGCCTTGTACAGTGGCTTACGCCTAGAACCCCAGCGTTTGGAAGGATGAGGCAGGAAACTCACCATAAGTTCTAGGCTTACTCAGTCTATATACTGAGCTCCAGATCTACCGTGGCTGCAGCATTAGACCCTGTACTCGCAAGCAAGCAAGCAAGCAAGCAAGCAAGCAAGCAAGCAAGCAGGCAGGCA